GCTCTGATCAAGGAGAGACCATCATTGCATCTAGATGGCAGCTTGCAAGCTTTTAAGATTCTAGTTGCTACTTGCCAAAGTAGGAGATAGAACAATGTTTTGTGTAGTATGTTATGCCAATTGAGCTTGATATCCCCAACTATGGTCCCGAGCCCACAGGTTCAACTACTCAGTCCCTCTGGGTAGCTGGCTGTGACCAAGAAGTGACTACAACTTTGCCCCTTGTCAGCTCTACTATACACCTGGGAATTCAGATCATACAAATAAACTTATAGGACCATTGTCTGCCAACCCTATACATGGTCTTGGGTACACTCACTGCTTCATTGACATACCTACTAGTTCAGCCTGTCCACCCATCTATCCACCCATATGCCCATATTTGCCTTCACTGACAATGAAGTATGTACTGTATGTGCAAAAGGGCTCATCTTTGTTGTCTGTATCTTCCATATCTCTATGTCTTTCTCTTCCTCAATGCCACCATATTGATCACTCACATTTGGTACATTGCCCTTCTCTTCACCCAAGTCAGTGCTTATCTCTACCTATCTAACAGTAACAACACAATTTTGCTTGCTGAAAGTGAGGATGACTTGAAGCACTTACTGATGAAGATTGAAGAATACAGTCTGCAGTATGGACTACATCTGAATATAAAGAAAACCAAAATCCTCACAATTGGACCTATAAGCATCATCATGATAAATGGAGAAAAGATTGAAGTTGTCAAAGCCTTCACATTGCTTGGTTCTACAATCAACACCAATGGAAGCAGCAGACAGGACATCAGACAAAGTATAGCACTGGGCAAGTCAGTTGCAAAAGACCTCTTTCAAGTGCTGAGGAACAAAAATGTCTCCTTGAGGACTAAGTTGTGCCTGACACAAGCCAAGGTATTTTCAATTGCCTCATATGCATGTGAGAGCTGGACAATGATTAAGGAAGAATGAAGAAGAATTGATGTTTTTGAGCTGTGGTGTGGTGAAGAATGCTGAAATACCATGGACTGCTAAAAGAGCTAACAAATCTGTCCTGGAGGAACTGCAGTTGAAATGCTCCTTGGAAGTGAGAATGGCCAGACTTCTCACCTACTTTGGTCATGTTATCAGAAGGGACCATTCCCTGGAGAAGAATGTCATGCTTGGTAAGGTGGAGGATTGAGGAAAGAGGGGAAAGCCCTCAATGAGATGGATTGACACAGTGACTGCGGTGATGGGCTCAAGTATAGCAGAGATAGTGGAGCTGGTGCTGGACCAGGCATTGCTTCGTTCTACTGTGATAGGGCCAATATGAGTCGGAGATGACTCAATGGCACCTAACAACAACAAAGACAGCCAACTGATCTTAGCTCTCCTCAGTTTTGAAAATTTCCATAGCCAGGGTTCTGAGGCCAAGCTGCCTACTAGAATCAGCTGGAAGCTTTCACAACTGACAGTACTCAGATGCCAATCAAAATGAAAGTTCTATGTGGCATTAGGAATGAGGGTCCTCCAGGCAGGACACCCTGGACATGAAACCTACAGCTCTCGCTCTCAGTCTTACCCCATCCTGCCCTAGTTTTAGCCTGTTTCACATTTTGTTCTGCAAGTCATTTCCTTAACAATTCTTGCTTATAATGGGTACTCACTAGACTTGTATGTTGTTGGTTGTCTTCAAGGCTTTGGAGTCCCTGGGTGACAATAGGTGACAATAAACAGTAGATTACTAGCTGAGGTTGGCAGTTCAAACCCATCTGATGTTGCCTCAAAAGACAGTCCAGACCTCACCTGGGACCTGCTTCTGAAAGGTCACAGTCGTGAAAATCCTAGGAAGCAGTTCAACTCTGCACACATGTAGCTGTCATGACTCATTTTAGACATAATCATAAAAAATGCAAATGAAAACATCAACTTCCTAAATGGCTTATTCCACTAGGGCCAGGACTAGGGTAAGGAAAGAGAGGAGCTTAAGGCACATGATTTAAGGACATCCTCAGTCTCAGGGTCATGGACTAGCTGACCTTATACTTGCACAACACTGAGAGTGATTGCCTCCTTACACAGTACCCCTATGTGCCTCACCTGCCTGCTTATCTTAATCTAGGTTCCCACTGGAGAAGATGGCCACCAACTCTGCACTGAAAGCCTCTGCATGAAATCCAAATTGAGTGCTAAGGTTTTACTTACTTGTGATATTGGTTTAATGGACTCGACCATTAAACCTCTAACATAAACAGTAGTAGGAAACAGGAGCCGAGCAAATCAAAGGCAAAGTCAGAGTTAACAAACCACAATTTACTTTCCACACAAGATGAGGCAAAACTGGTCTAGAGCCTTCTGGGAAATGCCCCCTGATGGTGAGTCAAATGCCTTAGGCACAACACCAGAGCAATGGCAACAGTGTTATAAGGGGCAGGAAGGAGGACATAAGTATAAGTGTCACTGCTATGAGTATTTCATTGAGAATGGATTTGCCATTGCTTCATAGAAAGATCCCCACTCATCCCCAGGAATCCATGTGGTCAGTTAACAAAGAGTAAGCCACTGAACTTACATGGAACTAGGTAGCCCAAAGTCAGAATGCCAAACAAGATAGGAAGAATGGACACAAATGGTTTCCCAATCTTCTCAGGAATCAGAAAAGTATAGTAATCAAGACTTTGCACTGTTACCACTTCAAAGTTCTCATTCTTTAGTTAAAGGAAGTTCTTTGGAAAGAAGGAAAATGACCTAATTCAGAAACTTAGCTACACAAAGAAAGGAAAAGGGTTAGAAAAGCAATAAATGAAAGTAAACTGAAATCTTTTATTTTTCTTATTCTTAAGTGATCTAACACATAATGTTGTTGTTGTTGTTATGTGCCGTCGAGCTGGACTCGACTCAGAGCCTATTGAAATACAAATAACAACAATATTTTGGGTGACTATAAAGCAAAAACCAAACTCACTGCCATCAAGTCAATTCCAACTCACAGCTACTCACTTCGGGTTTCCCAGGAGGTAAATCTTTATGAAAGTAGATTGTGCCATCTTCCTTCCACAGAGCAGCTGGCAGGTTTGAACCACCAACCTTCTGGTTAGCAGTCAAATGCCTTAGGCACAATACCAGAGCAATGGCAACAGTGTTATAAGGGGCAGGAGGGAGGACATAAGTATAAGTGTCACTGCTATGAGTATTTCATGAAGTATACTTTAAAATGGACTTAAATTGGAACCACTAATGAATTAAAAACAAATCTGGTCAAAAACAAATTATTTTAAAGTGGAATATCTCATGAAAGCCACCTACTAGAGAGGTAATTTACTAGTTAAGGAAGAGAGATAAGCAAGATAGAAAAAATGTGGACTATTGATGACATGATGAACACTACAAACCAGCACTAGATGGCCTGGCTATAGTTCCTTTCAAATAGAGAAAATAAATAAAGTCTTGAAGTTTTAAGCTACACTTTTTCTGGTTTCTGAAAGAAGCAGCTGAGTGCAAATTATTTAAGGACTTACCAGATACAGGTATATTCTCTGCCATGTGAGAATTTTTCCTTAATCAAGAAAGTCTTGGAAACTACAGTCATCACTGAGACCTGAGTCCCAAAAGCCTTACATTACGTGCCCAATTCTCCACGTGAGCTTTACATTCCTCAGTTTATAAAAGTGGGGATCCTGTAAAAGGGACTGTGAAAAGTGAAGAGTCCCATCACCCAGGAACTACCTGCAGGCTCCAAGCCTGACCAGCAAAGCACATGTCTCCGTAGGAGGGGACTCAGGCAGGGCCAATATGTGGAGTCCTGGGATGGCCTGTCCCTGCCCTAAATGTACATGACAGGGCGATTCCTGAGCTTTGCAAAGAACTGAAACACGGCAGCAAGAGGTAAGCTAAATTTGGGAAATACTGCTAAATTCTCAAATATTTTATATGTATTTCAAATAAACATGATGGAAATCTGCTAAGGGAATGTTTGCACTGCTTCCCAGAGGCAAGCACACAGTAGACCCCTTGGACATATTTAGAGAAGCCATCAGAGCACTCTGTGGTGAAATGAAACAATTCCTGGGGTTACAGAAGACACCAAGTACAGGGCCTCCCTAGTAGATCCAGGCAAATGCCATGAAAGGAAGCCAGAGAGTATAGCATGCAGATTTACCATTTATTTTTATAAAGGAAATTTTCATTTTGAGACAAATGTAGATACACATGCACCTGTAAGAAACAATGCAGAGCTAGTCCTTGTACCTTTATCCACTTGCCCCCAATGGTAACACATTGCAAAATTATAGCACAATATCTCAATCAGGATATTGATATTGATGGAGTCAGGATACAGAACATTTCCATCAGCACAAAAATCCTTCTTGGAGGCTTTCTTTTACAACACTATCCACTTCCCTCATGAAATGACTCTCTTCTTAAACCTTGGAATCATTCATCTGTTCTCTATTTCTATAATTTTGTCAATGCAAGGATGTTATATAAATGGAACTTTATGTAACCCTTCAGGAGAAGCATTTCTTCACTCAGCATAATTCTCTGGTAATACACCCAAGTTGTTCCTTATATCAATAGTTCACACTTTTTATTGCTGAGCAGCTTTCCATGGTATGGATGTAAGAGTTTGTTTAACCATTTACCCATCAGAGGGCATGTGGGTTGTTTCCAGTTTTGGACTATTTAATAAAGCTGCTATAAATATTCATGCAAAAAAGAAAAAAAAAAAGATGGAAGGCAACATGGAGAGAGACTTGACAAGAAAAGTGAAATGGCCAGAGAACTGTGGCTAGATGTGAGTGATGAGAAGGCAGGGGTGGCTAGTGAAGGTTTATGTCTGAGTAGAGGTGGCCCAGGTGAGAAGCTTTAGAGTGCTGTGTAAAGATTTCATAATAGAGAGACGAAAAAAAAAATTGAGGCGCAATGCCAATACCACCAGCAAGTGGAGAAGATAGGAGAACACCATGGGTGGCCTGTGCTGGTGGAAACCCACCAAGAAACAGGGAATCCCCAGCACACTCAGTCTAGAATTATCCATCATGTCTGTTTCAGCTTCCTGGATCCACACAGACACCTGGCCACCATGCGCAGCAGCCTGCCACAGAACCATATCGAACCTAGAGTGGCCACCAGTAGGAACAAGAAGACATCAAGCAGGTACTGCTCATACCAGGGCTGCTGGAAGGCATAAGGCTTGAGATGTGCCCCACCCCCTGTCTGAAGGATGTGGTTGATCCAGCCCACCAGCCTCTGGGAGGGGCTCACAGGGTGGGAGCGCCTGATCACGCTGGCGGCCATGGCTGCAGACTTGTACCTGTTGGCAGAGACAGAGGGGGCATTACTTATGTGGTTTCAGTAGTCTCACCATAGATGAAACTTTTCTTCCAGATGCACAAAGGAATGAGTCTCAAAGAAGAACCTGACTATCTATGCCTGTCTAACTGGTCCTTTCTAAAAGTTCAATAAACAAATGTACATACAAAGATGCACACATGATGCTAAGAGAGAGAAACTACTGAAATACTCTAAGTCCATAGAACAAATCCCTACCCCAAGGAAGCAAATAATAACCTGTGGGAAAATAACTTATGATGCAATTATTATATTATAACATATATTGAACACGTTCTTGGTGCCAGGCTCTGGGCTGTAGACAAATATGATGACTCAAGAGTGTCAGGCCCCCAGGAAGGCACTGCATTCTCCTGCACCACCAGAGAATCAGGTAGACAGGATGGCTTCATGGACATAAAGACTGTGCAATCCAACAGGGTCCCGCACTTAGAAGGACCAGGTACTTGGTTTATTGTCCGCATTCTCCACCTTGAAATCTGTAATACATTTTTATCTAGGGGCCCCATGTTTTCATATGCATCACTCTACATGAATTTTGAAGTCAGTCTTGGTGTTGCAAAACCTGAAAACGATTCCAGACTAGCATGACTCTTACTCAGGGGACACTTTTTAGATCTCAGGACTATGAGGATCCAGTGACATCTACCCACCCATTCTTCAGAAAATGAATATTTGCATGACATAGCAAATATAGTAAAATTCCACAGGGTTAACAGACTACTGAAGCTTAGCCAAATTTTTTTCAGGCTAAGAACTCCTAGCTATGTAGTTCTTTTACAGTCATGCAACAAAACAATTTTTAGTGTCTCCTATGTACAATGATGTCTCATTAAGCACTGAGGTGTGTTTGAGGGTTTGGGCCCTTGAAACCCTAAAAAAGGATTCAGCCCCTCTTAGTTACAAGAAAAATATGTGTATGTGTGTGTGTGTGTATTTCTCTTCATTGTAAGGTCATTGTGCTGGATAGGCAATTACCATGAAGGACCAGGTACTTGATTTACCAGGTCCTTTCACAGATTCACATAACAGAAATCATTATCCCCACACTCTGTGGCAGGCCTTGTGTTGGGCTCTTGGAACAGAATGATAGCATGAAACACGCCTTGCTGTCATCAGGGATAATATGGGAACACTATCAAGAAATAAACATAAGCAAACAGGAAAATGACAGAGCCTGAAGTATGTTAAGAAGGAAATAAAATAATTGAGGTGGGTGAGAGAAGAGACTAGCTAGAGTGGGCAGAGAAGGGCTCTTTGAGTAGGTGACACTGAAGATAGACCAGAATGACCTGAAAGAACTAGCTAAGAGAAAAAATGTTCTAGAGAACAGCATGGGCAGAGACCCAGAGATGGAGAAGAAGGTTTTGATATATTAGGAGAACACAAAGGCAAACTCCTGCCTCAGTAGAATATTGTCATGAGGATCCCAAACACATAAAACCTCTGTTAAGATCTGACATCAGAGATACAGATATCTCTGTATAAAATCTTTGTGTCCCTCCCAATCCTTAGAATAAAATCTTATGCTCAGCATCTAACCTAGAATGCTCTAGTCTTGCTTTCAGAGAAAACAGGTCAGAGCTGTTAACACAGCTGCTTACTGTGATTCCATGCCTGAGAAGCTACAGCTTATTTCAAAGGAGATGAACACAGAGTCTTGGTGTATAAAGCAATGGTTCATTTGGCCTAAGTGACCACGTGCCCAGAGAGCTGCATACCTCTTGTCTTCTATGACTTGTTTCATCTTAAGAACGAAAGTCTCTGCCTTCAGCTGCTTTAACTGGATAGTGATGCCGAGGTTTTTGGCTTCAACCCGCAGCAAGTTTTCAGGCTGGTCTCCAAAGAGTGGAATCCCCACCATGGGCACCCCATGTTGGATGGCCTCCATTATGCTATTCTGCCCACCGTGGGTGACAAAAAGACGGATGCTGGGGTGAGCTGTTTCAAAGAAAGCATGACATTTGAGCATGAGCAGCAAAGGAAGAAGAAAATAACAAGGGAATCTCAAGTGGTTGTTGGAGCCATTGGAATTACATTGCATTTGCTTGAGATACCCCAAATATGCATGTTCCAAGATTCAAGACTCTGAGCCTTGCCTCTATATAAAGACCCATTCTTTTGCCCAGAAACCACTTATGTTCCATAGAAAAATTCAGAGAAGAGTACTTTATATCCATCCACACATATATACATATTTCCATACATACATACATACATCTCCTTCTCTCTCTTCTCCCTGTTTTCTTTTTCTTTGCTCCTGATTTCAATTTGTCTGCTATCTCTTTGCCCTCACTTCATCTTCTCCACTGCCTACTTATTTCCCTCTTCTCTGAATTCCTGACACATGAATTGACATCACAATTCATGTGTCACTCAAAAAACATACACTGCATTGTCACTTTTAGAGTCTGCATGTGTTTTCTCCTCACTTTTAGGAGAAGCTCCAGAAAGCAGAGAATGGATCCTACACCGTAGTATGGATAGTCCCTACCTTTCTATCTCACCCTTATTGAGAGCAAAAAATATTATTTATGATAATTAAAACAGCATCCCAACCTGCACCTATCAACTGGAATGTACATCAGAACCTTCTTGTGAACTCTGACAATGGAAGTCATTAGTCCCACATCAGACTCTATGAAATATATTTGCAGGGGTGGGATGAGGAACATGTTTCTTATTTTGATCCATAATATTAGTTATGAGCTTCTGACTCAGCCAGCATATATGGCAGTGAGGGTGTCCCAATGGCAGAATGGGGCACAGAGGAAAAAAATAAAATCTTGGGTGCATGTTGTTGTTGTTGTTGTTTTGTGCCATCAAGTCAAACTCAACTCATAGCAACTCCTCCTTGGGCTGCCGAGGCAGTATCACTACGGAAGTAGATTGCCCAACCTTCCTTCCGAGGAGTGGCTGGTGGGTTTGAACTGCCAGCCTTCTGGTTAGCAGTCAAGTGCTTTAGGCACTATGCTACCAGGGTTCATAGTGATCTGGTATTAGAGAACTATGTGAACAAAAAACAAAATAATCAGTGATAAAGTTTATCAGCTTGCCAATCAGCTATTTTGTCATATCCAAAAGACACTGTTGACGTTAAGATGGTGACAGTATGAGCTTTTCACATCCTTAGTTATATAAGGATGATGTGTGGATATGTATGTATGTATGTATGTAAGTGTCCCTGGACTGTATTCCTGGAGTTCACAGGTTGTCATGGATAGTATTTGAGTAAACCTTGTTCAGCGCAACTGCAGTAGAGTCAAGGGCACCTAATAGAGAATATCATTTCTGGCTGAAAACACTGGACATGGCAGAGAAAGGAATAAAGAGGAGATGGCATCTGATCTCATTGGAAGTACAGTTTGATTCACAAGACTCCAGTGGGCTGCTCTTCTCCTGCCCTCTGGACCCTTCCCATAAGCTACCATCTGCTTCCTTCTTCTGTTACTGGAATGCTCAAGGACAGAACAGAGGCCAGATGAACTCTCAAAAAAAAAAAAAAAAACAACTCAATGCCATAAAGTCAGAACCAACTCATACCAACACCTCCTTGGATTTCTGAAGCAGTATCACTATGGAAGTAGATTGCCCGATCTTTCTTTCAAAGAGTGCTTGGTGGGTTTGAACTGCCAGACTTATGGTTAGCAGTCAAATGCCTTAGGCACTATACCTCCAGCACTCCTAGATGAACTCTCTAAGGACATATAAATGGAAAGAGAGAAGCAGATCTGGGAAGGCCTTACCCAGGAGGTCACTCTGAGGAAGCCAGTCCGCAATTTTCACATTTGCTGCCAATTGCACATCTTTGGGCCATTGTGAACACTTATATCTCCATATTACTCCTTGAGGAAGATGAGCAAAGGCACTGTTCATCTCCTTGAGAATCTCTTGGAACTGATAGGTATTTAACATGGAGCCCAAGGCCACAAGGATAAAACCAAAGTCTCCAAATTTAGCTATGAAAGTCTCAAGGTCCTGAAGACAAGTAACAAAAAAAAAAAGCAAGTGAATGAAGTTATTTATGAAAGTCTAGAGTTCAAGGGAAATACAGCTTATTTACTAAACACACCCTTCCTTCAATGCCTTCTCCTGAAATTGTTCTCATAGTCCCTGGAACAACCCAGCACCTTCTGTACTACTTCCATTTCCATTGTATCTGCATGGTCTGGAGTTGACTTTTCTGAGAACTTAGGGCATGTTTTCTAAGGTAGGTAATATTATATGATCACAGAAATGTGAGGATGAAGAGGGATTTTAGATTACCAACCACCAAAATAGACACATTACACCTAAGATCTTCATACCACAGTATAGGACTATGAATTCTGGATCCAATTGTCATGTACAACAATAAATACATGAAACAGGGAAATTGACATGGTGGGAACATCCTTCTTCATTGAAAACTCATGACTCCAGCATCAGAGTCATCCTCCAATCCTCTGCCCAATTTGATCAGGGGGGACATGATCATCTGGGAGTTTCCCAAGGCCAGACCAGAGGTGTAGCACCTGGAACAGTGTGGATCAGGGGTCCAGACTCAACAGGGGAACTGGTTTGAGTGGAAGATCTCTAGCATCAGAAGTGGAGGCAGAATTGCCTGAGGCTCTTTTTACCCAGTGTACCACTTAGCATACTTTGTACCAATATTCCATGATTTTCTCAATCATTGAGGTTTATACTATGTTTCCTGTGTCAGATGCAAAGCCATAAGGACATATTATAAACACCTAGGAAAAAAATTTAAAAGCACCATTATTCATGGCCCAACCCCAGTCATGGGTATGGCTTTTTTTTTTTTTTCCTTTTACTCCCTGTTATGGATTAAATTGTGACTCTCCAAAAGTAGATGTGGGAGCTCTGGTAGCGTAGTGCCTAAGGCATCTGACTGCTAATCAGTCCTTCCTCGGAAGGAAGATTGGGCAATCTACTTCCATAGTGATATCGAAGATTGGGCAATCTACTTCCATAGTGATATCACCTTGGAAACCCAAGGAGAGGTTGCTATGAGTCGGATCCAACTCCATGGCAGTGAGGTTTTTTTCAGTTGAGAAAAGGAGATGTTGGAATCCTAACACTTATACTTTTTTATATGATCTCATTTGGTAATAGTGTTTTCTTTGTTATGTTTATGAGGATTAGTATAGGGTGTGTCTTAGGCCTAGTCACTTTTGAGATAAAAAAAAGACCAGATAAGGTACAGAGAGAAGTAAGCTTGAATGGGGAAACATTTCCTAAGTGTCATTTCCTTAACAATTTTTGCATACAATGGGTACTTACTGCATACTTATTGTATGTTGTTGGAGGTGATTGCCTTCAATCCTTTGGAGTACCTGGGTGACAGTGAGTGGCAGTAAATAGTGGATTACTAGCTTCAGCTGTTGTTGTTATTGTTATTTGCCAACGAGTCAGACCTGACTCATAGCGACCCCTCCTTGGGTTTCGAGGCAGTATCACTACGGAAGTAGATTGCCCCATCTTCCTTCCGAGGAGTGGCTGGTGGGTTTGAACCGCCAGCCTTCTGGTTAACAGTCAAGTGCCTTAGGCACTACGCTACCAGAGCTTCTCAGCTAGTACTTTGAAAGACAGGCCTGGCCTGGCCTGGCACCTGCTTCTGAAAGGTCACAGTCTTGAAAATCCTAAGAATCAGTTCAACTCTGCGCATACGTAGCTGCCATGACTAATTTTCTACAATATCATATAAAATGTAAATGAAAATATCAACTTTCTAAATGACTTAGTCCACCAAAGGTCAGGACTAGGGTAAGGAAAGAGAGGAGCTTAAGACACATGATTTAAGGACACCTTCAGTCTCAGGGTCATGCTAGAGCTGACCTAGTACTTGAACAACACTGAGAGTGAGTGCCTCCTTACACCGTACCCCTAGCTGCCTCACCTGCCTGCCTACTTCATGCCTATGTTCCCAATGGAGTACTCAGCCACCAAATCTGCACTGAGGGCCTCAGTGTGAAATGCTAATTCAGTGCTAAAGTTTTACTTACTTGTGGTACTGGTTTAATGGGTCTGGCCATTAAACCTCCAACATAAACAGTATTCGGAAGCAAGGGCCGTGCAAAATCAAATGCAAAGTCAGAGTTAACAAACCACAACTCTGTTTTCCGTACAAGATGAGACAACACTGGTCTAGAGCCTTCTGGGAAATGCTCCTTGATGGTGTTGTCATACTGAGAGCGGATTTGCCATTGTTTCCTAAAAAAATCAAAGAACATCAGAAGGTTCTTCATTCGTCCCCAGAAGTCCATGCGGTCAGTTAGCAAGGAGTTGAATGCTGGAACATAGGACACAGGGCTGGGTAGCCCGAAATCCACAGTGCCAAATGTGCCAGGAAGGAAGGATACAAGTGGTTTCCCAAGTTTCTCAGCAATCAGATAAGGACAGTAATCAAAAGTTTCTATTATTAATAGTTCAAAATTCTCATTCTTTAAGGAATCCATGATATCCCTTCTTCTTAGCAAATGACTGCATTGAATCCCAAATTTTTCCATGAGCTTTAAAAATTTTTCAAATGTTTCTCTGTAACAAAGAAAATAAATAATACATATTTGTGAGAGGTGTTGATTTCACAATGCATAAATGAATCTTGGGACTCAAAGAAAATATTCCAGGTAAGCAAGAGCTTATCTCGCAGCAGCCCACCTATTCCACCACTGTCCTACAAAAACTCTCTACTCCAGTCACTCTAGTCTAGGGTGTTTCTGCTCCCTAGACTGCTCCCACATCCTCCCTTCCTGTTTCCTTTTCTCATCCAAATACCACCCATTTATTTCTCTATGACACATCAAGGCCCTTACGTTATAGGAATTGTCTCTGAACATAGTACACTTCATAGAACTCTCTTTACTTGATAAATTCTGTGATGCAATCTTTAGCCTTCTTTTACATGCTGACTTCTTATGAGTGACTGTCTTGTTTTCCCAGTTAAACTGTTTATGCAACTTGAAGACAGAGTTCCATGAACACTGATGACAGTCCTTATTTTTAAATCGCTGTGTATTCTGCATTTGACAAATCATTTCACCCAGGGGACTCTTTTTTTTTTTTTTTAAATTTGATTTTGATTTGGGTGAAGATTTACAGAGCAAATTCACTTTTCATACAGCAGTTCACATATACTTTGTCTCATGTCATTGACCAAAATTTACAATACAACGGCTCCCCTCCCTCTTCCTCCCCATAGCCACCTCTTCCCAGTGTCCATCCCTCCATACTCTTCTGCGCCCTGAGCTGTCTCCCTGTGCATAAGC